GTGCCAAAAGTCCAGTTTAGGTACAAAGAATATATATATGCTGTGGACCATAATTTACGTACATTATAGAGAAGCAGTAATCAAATACTATCTTATTTATAGATACATATAAATTTAGTAAAAATACAAAATATGCAACATAATGATAATTACCAACTTTAGAGCTCTGTGGGTACCTATACATGGGAGGGGCAGGGCAAGAAAGAGTGGGAAGAAAGACATAGCTTTAATTTTGTACAAAAAATAAAAGTTTTGAAGAAATACAATGGAATGCTAATATTGGCTACATTTGGGCCTTTGCATACTGGGGAAGTCTTTTGTCATTTTCTATTTTTTTTTATGTTTATGTATATTTTTATATATATTTATGTATGATTACATATATTTGAAACTCAAAGTGAAGACAGGCAGGCTTGAGTAAGTCATTTAGAGTCTCTGCATTTTAGAGAAACCCTTAAGTAGGAGGATTTCCAAAGTCTTTTGTGAAGTGTTTTGTTCCTCTATGAAAGAGGGTAACAGGGGGCAACAGGCATCACATTAATAAGAGAGCAGATTCCATTAAGACATTCTGGCTGGGTGTGGTGGCTCACATCTAAAAATCCAGCACTTTGGGAGGCCGAGGTGGGTGGATCATTTGAGGTCAGGAGGTCGAGACCAGGATTGGACAACACGGTGAAATCTCACCTATACTAAAACTGCAAAAATTAGTCTGGTGTGGTGGTGCACGCCTGTAGCCCAGCTTATTAGGAGGGTGAGGCAGGAGAATCACTTGAACCGGGGGAGGCAGAGATTGCAGTAAGCCAAGATTGCAGCCACTGTACTCCAGCCTGGGTGACAGAGCGAGGACTCGTGTCTCAAAGAAAAAAAAAAAAAAAAAAGGCATTCTGTTTGTTTAGAAACTTAATGCTCTGTATTCTAAATCCAGGCACACCTTGGAAATACTGTGAGTTTGGTTCCAACCAATGCAGTAAAGCAAATATTCAATATTTGCATGTGACACAATTTTTTTGGCTTCCTATTAGATACAAAACTTATACTTACACTATACTATAGTCTCATAAGTGTGCAATGGTATTATGTCTAAAATTTTTTAAAAAATACTTTATGACTAAAAAAATGCTAATGATCACCTGAGTATTCAGTGAGTAATAATGATTTTGCTGGTGGAGGGTCTTGCCTCGATGTTGATGGCTGCTGACTGATCAGGGCAGTGGTTGCTAAAAGGTGGGGTGGCTGTGGCAATTTAGAATAAGACAGTGAAGTCTGCCACATTGACTGACTCTTTCTTTCACAAAAGATTTCTCATGCAGTGCTATTTGATAACATTTTACCCACAGTAGAACTACTTTCAAAACTGGAGTCAATGCTCTCAAAACCTGCCACTGCTTTATCAACTAGGTTTATGTACCATTCTAAGTCCTTTGTTGTCATTTCAACAATGTTCATAGCATCTTCATGAGGAGTAAACTCTCTCTCAAGAAACCACTTTCTTTGCTCATCCACAAGAAGCAACTTTTTATTCATTTGAGTTTAATCATGATATTGCAGCAATTCAGTCACATCTTCATGCTCCATTGCTAATTCCAGTTCTCTCATTATCTGGAATACCCATCCCCTCCATTGAAGTCTTGAACTCCTCAAAGTCCCCATAAAAGTTGGAATCAACATACTTTAAATTCCTGTTTATGTGGGTAGTTTGATCCACTCCCATGAATCATGAATGTTCTTAATGGCAACTAGAATGTTGAATACTTTCCAGGAGGTTTTCAATTTACTTTGTCTGGATTTATCAGAGGAATTACTATCTATGTAGCCTTATGAGATGTATTTATTAAATAATAACTTGTGAGTCAAAATTACTCTTTGATCCATGGACTGCAAAATGGATCAAAGTGTAATTTTGTGTTAGCAGGCATAAAAACAACATTAATGTCCTTGTACATCTCCATCCGAGTTCTTGGGTGACCAGATATATATGGTCAATGAGCAGTAATATTGTGCAACAAATCTCTTTTTCTGAGAAGTCAGTCTTAGCAGTGGCTATAAAGTATTTAGCAAGCTATGTTGTAAACAGATGTGCTTTCATCCAGGTTTTGTTGTCCCATTTCTAGAACACAGGCAGAGTAGACTTTGGATTCTTAGGGTGGTAAATGAGTAATGACTTCAACTAAAAATAAGCAGCTGCATTAGCCCCTAACACGAGAATCATCCTGTCCTTTGAAGTTTCAAAGCCAGGCATTGACTTTTCCTCTCTTGCTATGAAAGTCCTAGATGGCGTCTTCTAATAGAAGCCTGTTTTATCTATAATGAAAATCTGTTGTTTCAGGTAGCCACCTTCATTAATTATCTTCACTAGATCTTCTCTGAAAAACTTTCTATGGCTTCCAAGTTAGCACTTGCTGCTTCACCTTGCACTTTTACGTTGTGGAGACAGCTTCTTTCCTTAAATCTTGTGAACAAACCTCTGCTAACTTCCAACTTTTCTTGTGCAGCTTCCTCACCTCTCGCAGCCTTCATATAATTGAAATTGAAGAGAGTTAGGGCCTTGCTGTGGATTAGGTTTTGGCATAAGGGAATGTTGTGGCCGGTTTGATCTTCTATCCAGACCACTCAAACTTTCTCCATATCAGCAATGTGTGCTTTGCTTTTTTATCATTTGTGTGCTCACTGGAGTAGCAGTTTTAATTTCCTTGAAGAACTTTTCCTTTTATTCACAACTTGGCTGTTTGGTGCAAGAGGTTTAACTTTATGCCTGTCTCAGCTTTTGACATGCTGCCTTCCTCACTAAGTTTAATCATTTCTAGCTTTTGATTTAAAATGAGAGATGTGAGACTCTGTCTTTCACTTGAACACTTAGCAGTCATTGTAGGGTTATTAATTGGCTTAATTTCACTATTGTTCATTGTGTCTCAGAGAATAGGGAAACCCAAGGAGATGGAGAGAGACAGGAGAATGGGTAGTTGGTAGCACAGTCAGAACACACATAATGTTTATTGATTAAATTTGCCATCTTATATGGACATGGTTCATCGTGTCCAAAAACAATTGTAACGGTAACATCAAAGAACACTGATCACAGATCACCATAATAGATGTAATAAGAAAAAGTTTGAAATAATGTGATAATTACCAAAACGACAATTACACAGAGACACGAAGTAAGCACATGCTGTTTGAAAAATAGTGCCAATAGACTTGCTCAATACAAGGTTACCAAATGTAAAAAGTGCATTATTTGCAAAGGTCAGTAAAGTGACATGCAATAAAATGAGGCATGCCTGTACACATTCAATTATATACTCCTTTACACAATTCATTATGACATTTGAAACTCCACTACTGTTTCTCAACCCAACTACAGGTATTACTGCACACAGTTTTTGATCATATCCTTTTGTCTCATTTTATACATCTATAAAACAATGAACACATCTTTTCTGCATAGTAAGCTAATATTTTATGAATTATTCTAGGGCCTTCATTTTTCTTGGAGATAATTCTAATTCAGTCTGCCTCTTTCCATAAAATGATTCAATAGCATTTCATAGAAATCAAGAAAAAAATATTTCTTCATAGTGCAGCACCAGGACATTTTTCTATCAGTCTTAAAAGTTTTCAGGCATGAAAACCCTAAAGCACATTGCTATTCCATCACCTAACCCCTGGCATTGCGTTGGTTACATAGCTGGAGGCAGTCAAAGTTTAATGTACATAATTACAATACACCTTTTTCTATATTGCAAGATTTCCTTGTTATAAAAAGATACTAAAGACTCATCTTAATCATTTTTCTATTCCCCAAGAGAGTTTAAAATTTTAATAGCTTCTAAGCAAGTGGATCTGAGAAAGGTTGTTTCAAAATGATTACACCAGTACTTCTTCACTGTGAGAGGTGTGACTTTTTTGGATCTAAATTGAGGTGGAAGTATGATTGAAGAGAAGTTAAAAAATTCACAGTTAAACCAAATAGAAAGGCCTAAAGCAATTCTCTGTTCTTTGTAAAATGAAGCTCCAAGGGTATTAATTTAAACAACAAAATATCTCCCCCAAATTAATAGAGAATAAAGCTGGATCTAGCCCAGTGGTGGTTGCCTAGCAACAAAGCTATGTGTTAGGAAAAGGATGGGAGTACTTCAGACATTGGGTATCACTTCAGGCATTGAGTTTCCTTGAAAAATGTGAAGAAACATTTCTGCTCTTTTGAAATTGTCTGTTTAAAGATGCCTATGATCCATACCACATGCTAGGACACTCTTCCTCTTTTTAAGTCAGATTCACATTAAAATTCACCTCAGTTGCCACCTCTTCCATGAAGCTTTCTCTGGCTATCCCCAAGGACCCTCAGACTCTGAACCATGTCTGCTTCCTCTGCGCTCCCCTCGCCTTCTGCATTTCACTACCTTTGCTCTTCTTTAAATGTTTGGTAGAATTCAGCAGTGAAGCCACTGGGTCCTGGGCTTTTCTTCACTGGGAGACCTTTTTATTGTGGCTTCAATCTCATTACCTGTTATTGGTCTGGTCAGGTTTTGGATTTATTTGTGGTGCAACCTTGGTAGGCTGTATGTGTCTACGAATTTGTCCACTTCTTGTTGACACTTATCATGGTGTCCATCACTTATCATGAAATCATTAGCTTGTTCATCTCTCTGTTAATGTGCCCAACCAGATTATAGTTAGGGACTGTCCCTTGCTTTTCTTTGTATCTCACATGCATAATCTCATGCTTTGTAAAGGCCCTAGTACAGTTTGTTGAGTGGATGGGTGGATGGATGATGAAGAAGTAAATGAACTAATGAATAAATTAGAAAATCAGACTTCAGTAAGAATATGATCTATAATCATGGCTGTATTGAGGACTCTAATATGTGTAAATGTGATGGAATAACTCCAATACGTACCGCTGTGAGGGATTTTTGTGATAAGCCTGTCTCAAGTCATGTTCAGAAAAGTTTATTTGAATTAAGTCGCCTTTTCCCTATTTTCTGTTCTCTGCCCTACAGGCTGCCTGAGCAATTGTGGCTGATTCGTGAAGTGAGTTCCCATTATCATCCAATTGGCCCTGATCTCGCATCCCAAGGTAGGCATGCCTGCCTGCTTCTCCCTGCTTATTGGACTTTGCCTGTGGCTTATTGCTCTGTTTATTATAACTCAACTGCTGCCTCTTCCCTTTCATTTTGATGTGAACTATTCTTCATCTCAGGTTGGCACAAGGAAGTTTTCTTGGTGGTACTCTTGAATCCCTGTAGCTGTTAGCATCTTTATTTATGACTGTAATAACCTTAGAACTCCCCTGGATAATCCTCAAAAAGGACATTATACATGGGGCTGTTTCCTGAGGTAGAGAGCTATAAAGGGAGCTGATTTATTATATCCAAGTCTTCATATCCAAGTTTTTGAAGGCATTTTGCCTTAATAAGGGTTCTGGCAGGAAGCAGATGACACACAGCTGTGTAGTTTCAAGAGCACTTTAGAAAGAGATTCTTTACCATGGCATGGTCAGAATGTGGGAACGCCAAAAGAGTTTGGGTATCACCTTGGGGCTAGAAATAGGCTGGGCCTGAGTGGGGAAGGGAAAGGAATAGTTACTAAAACCTAAAGAAAAATAAATGGAGAGAAAGAATGATAGCTGTTAGGAGGAATGCCAGGGTGGAAGGAGCATGCGCTTTGTTAAAACCCATGGAGACTCTGGGGAATGCATGGCCTAAACATGCTCGTCTCCACCCCTCTGGTCTCCTGCGAAATGTGCTCCAATGGCCAACCACACTGGAAGTGGTCCCACTGGGCAGCCTCTTGGGGAACAGAGAAGGGTGAAAAGCAGTGGAAATAGGATCTGGAAGGAGAAGTAGAAGATACACTGTATAGCCCCCAGAAGAAATGCAAAGATAATGGTGCCTGTGCATGGGAGGCATGCCTCCAATGACTTCACTCCAAAATAATTTTGGGGAAAGTATGTTGATATTTCCTTATGCATTTTTAATTGCTCCTGAAATTTTTTGTTATCTTGTTCCTAACTGGCACTTGATCTTTACTAATTTGTCCTCTTAAAGACTATAACCCTTTACAAAAACAAATAAACACAAACACCCTTTAGCTTCCTGTTACCTCAAGGATAATGTATGACTTGATTGTGTTGAGCTTTTTGCCTTAGCTGGTTTGCTAACAAATCAAGGTTCTCTGTGCATGCCAGGTTACAAATATGGATCCAATGGCTTTTCTATCAGTAGAGCTAAGAAATTTAAAACCAGAATAAGCAAAAAACTTTAAGGCTCTAGAGATTTGCTTCATAACTTGCTTTAATTAAAGTCAATTCCTATATTAAAAAGAGACATATTTCTGATTTAATATTTTTCCCTATTTTTCTCTTAAGGAGGGCATCTATAATTTTTTTTAATAATTGAAAGTATTAGATGGGTTTCAAATCATTTGCTCTATCATCATTTCTTTGAAATCAGTCTTTCCTGTTCATACCTAGTTTATAATGTGAGCCTGCTGATTTGTAAAAGAAATTAACGATCATGAGGTTATTTTGAAATTCAAGGAGTTAAATTGATGTAAAGGAGTTAGAGTGCTGCCTCAATGGAGCAAGTACTCAATATGTGGTCCCTGCTTTTTTTGTGGACCTTCTTGTATCATGTTCGTGTAAGAACATGGAGATCAGAAGACTATTCTTATAGCAGTATTCAAAAAGATTAGACCAACTGGTAGGATGATTTCTTAGGGGACAGATACGAGGTTTTACTCCAGAAGATTCAGTCTTTGGGAGTCTTTTCCTTGGGAGCTAAATGATGGATATTGGAATACTACAAAGCAGAATAACAAATATTTGCTTTTCCTTTCTTCTTTTGTGATTGTCCTGAGCCGGAAGAAGTAACAAATTATATGGTCATTTTGGTATTCTCTGGCCATTCTTTTGGGTATCTTGCCTGATTCCGTTATGCCTTATACATTTTAAAATGTGATTGAAGTCTCCATACTGTTATATTCCTGAGTCCAAGAAACATAAAATGAAACATTGAGTGGAAGCCTGTATTAGCTAGGATTCAGTTCAGCCATATATTTTTTAAAAAACATCAAATAACAATGGGTTAAATAAGACAAAAAATTGTATTTTCTCTCACATTCAAAATGTCTAGTTGTGGGCATTCCAGATATGGTATGGTAGCTCCATAGTTATCAAGGACCCAGGAGTATTCTCTGTTTCTGCTCCTCTATCCTTAGTATGACACTCATCGTAGAGGCCACCTTATGGTCATGAGATGCCTATTGTAGCTTCAGCCATCACGTTCAATTGAAAGGAGTAAGGGGAAAACAGTGTGGTTTCACACTGAGTGAGCCCCCTTTAAAGTGCTTTTTAAGAAGCCCCACACTTCTGCAACTTTTGCCTACTATCCCCAGGGAAGACAGGAAATACAGGTTTCATCTAGAGTTTGTCAAAAAGCCATTCACAATGTGGAGGTGCATCCACACCATCTTCGTAAGCTGACCATGTTTGAGCTATATTTGCAGTTATTTTACATAGTCGTGGGCAAACTGCACTACGTGAGCTAAGGAATCAGACCAATCTGTGTTTGAATCCTGGTTCTCTCTGACCTTTACTATCTGGATGTCCTTGAGCAAGTCAGGTTAACTTCTCTGAGACAATTTGATCAGGTCAAATGAAGATAGTAAGAGAGCCTACTTAGAGCAGTGGTAAGAACTGAAAGAGCATATATATACACAAGTTGTAAACCAATTAATAATTTTCAAAATGTGTACTTGTAATTTTATTTCTTTTAATTATGGTCAAAAATTGTGCCAGCCTCAACAAATGATATTTGAAAGCTGACAACACAGCAAGCTTTCAAAGTATCTACAATTAATAAATCAGAAACTCAAAGAGGCTAAGTAACTTGACTAAGCTTATGTAGAACCAAAATACACTCCCCTCCCTCAATAAACAACAAAAATAAAGCCCAGTCCTTTCTGACTTGAATAATTGCCCTTTTTCTTTCCAAAGTACATTGTCTCTTTCAAACTCAGGTTGCAATTGGCTACATAATGTATACAGGTTTATGTAATGACAAACTGGGTTCTAATCGCATTTTACTTCACTGATTGAATTCACTCAGCAACTATGGAGAACTTCCAGAGATGGGGAAGTAGGGCTTCAAGCCAAGACTTTAGGCTGGCTATGTCCTGGAAAAAGAAGCAGACCCTGCTATAGCAAAAAAAAAAAAAAAAAAAAAGTTTTTCTGCTCAAGGCACAAAGCCTCCTTGGGTCCTGATAATATACATACCCTTTGACTTAACTAACCTGGTTGGGTGGCCAAATCCTATTATTTTCTGTATTCTGATGTCAATTCAATTTGAAAAATGTAAATGAGGCTTGCTCATCAAAACAAGTTTAGGAAAAATTTGAAAATAAATAAATGGGAAATCTGCTGTGCTAGTCATAAGTAGAGTCAGACTAACATTTTGCATTTTTAAGGAAATATTCAATGACTATAAGAGTTGCATAGATGGTAAAGGGTGCTATGATAGAAAAGTCTGGGATTCTGTTAGTGCAATAAAAGGTGTGACAAAATTGACAAGTGGGAGTTGAGCAAGAAAAGCAATTTCCAAGCTGGGACCTGAAGAATAAATATGAATTTATCAAAGAAATAGTGGGTGGAAGAATATTCCTAGCAGAAGGGATAGTGTATGTCTCTGACTCTTGAGTTTTGACTTCTGGACACTTATTCCCTGATTACTTTTACCCTTACTTCTGACTCTTGCCTTGACTCTGCAAAGGCTGGCTTTTAGCCTTCTGGTAGCCCACCATCAAGCACTGAGGCCACCACCTTAAACGCCTTTCCATTGGAATTATGTACATTGGAAGCCACTGTTAACAAACCACTCTACAGGACTGTCCTAAAACAGAAATGGCAGCTAGACTTCATTTCCTGTGCCAATGTTAATAGCTTTTTTGTGGCAGCCTGGACAAATCAAAAGGATACTGAGGACCAATAGAAAGTGTCTCACAATTAATTAGTGAGGTTTCCCTAGTTTAGAAACAGAGAGTTCTGACACACAGGCATTGGCATTCTTGGGTCCAACACTCTCTTCCCTGCCTTTCTATTATGCTTGAATGAAATTAGGAAAAATGTCAAAGAAGAAGCAGGGTGCAGGCCAGAAAGCACTGATGGTAATAATGCCTGGCATCTCTTGCCTGTACATATCCAACTTCCACATTAAAAATTTGGCTCCTGCTAATAAAAAGTTGTCTGTAAGTTCCCTGGGCCATCTCAATGGTCGCTGCATTTACAAGCCCTTTCAGACACCCAGCTGCTGCTCCTAATTTACTTTCTGACAATAAAACACCTGCCTCTTATGGGAATGGCTGGGGGAAGTTGAGAATACTGTCAGTAGTCACAGACTTGAGGTTGCTATCAGTCTGAATAGACTGGATGCTAGGATCCCTTCCCCAAAACAAGCTGAAACCAGCCCAATAGTCCCACAGACAGTCGTTCTGGGATAAACATAGAAATTGACCCTTCTGGTCTTAAAACTTGAAATTTCATTTGTTTCATTTGAGTTCCTTCCTCAGGAAATAACTTTCAGGCCTCTTAAAAAGGTATCAAAGAACTGAAACTCACCAGATCACCCCATCTAGACAATGAGATGTGGGAACACTCATTCATCATGATTGTTTCCTTGCCCCATCCCTAGTTCCTGTTTTCTTACACATTGTTACATTTCTTCCCTACTATAGAAACCCCTAGTTTTAGTCAATCAGAGAGATGGATTTGAGACTGAGCTCCTGTCTACCCAGCTGCAGGACACGGTTAAAGCCTTCTTCCTTGGCAGGACGAGTCGTCTCAGTCATTGGCTTTCTGTGCAGCAAGCAGCAGGACCTAGACTGAACCCCTGGTGTTTTGGTTACAAAGCTACAGGCAACAGTCTCCTGTTGTGGAAAAAAATGTATTCAAAATATTTCTCTGCTTAAACATTTTTATTGTTGCCTGCTCACTGACCATTCTAGGTCCAACATCTTGGACTCTCCATTCCAGCAGTAAAATCAACTGAAATGTGCTTTCTGCCTCATTATTTGACCGTCTG